TGCCTTTAATGACCTGTGGTGACCTGACCTATGACCTGACCAAAAAATTGACCGAAGTGATTTCGTCATCATTTTTGGCGTTCTTTCGAACGCCGCCTTCCGCGTATCGCTACGTGGCCCAGGAGCCGAGTTACAACTAGCCGAGTTACTATTCAGCCCAGGGCAGGCTGAATAGTCGTCAAGTTCTGATGTTTAGAGAACATACCAGGTGGTAGGTAGGTACAGACAGACACTAAAGTCAGCAAAAAGTGGGGGGGGGCAGTTAACATTGCTGCCCCCCACACCTCCGAAAGTGGGGGGCAGGGCCCCCAGGCCCCCTCCCCCCTGTTCCTACGCCTATGATTGTGCTTGCATGTTACCTACGTTTGATGGCTGGGTCTTCACTTCCAAGCAATCACCAATCACCGTTCTGCAAACGATGTTGAACCGTTAGTTTTCAGGATAGGTGTGAGCTGCGTGCCCCCTCGCTAGGTCTCCCTTGCCCCCCCCCCCCCACAGACAGCAAATGGTTCTAAGAAGTCGTTTATTCAAATATCTTTACGCCGATGTTCCAGCATCACCGCACTCGGTGCTCATTGGACGTTCCAGTATGGACGGACGAGTCCATTATTGTGCTCATCCAGACGGGGGAGGTAGTTTCCATCCCCGTCGTGTATAAACAGCACGGAACAAGGCAATTATGTTTGTTTGCAACTAACAAGGCTAAAAAATGATTCATTTTGTAATGAATAGATCGGCGCAGGTACCACCTCTGGTGTGTGGCCCCGCGCCGGCCCGGCTCGTCTCTGTGTTGGCCGTGACGCCGGCAGCCGGAGGTGGCCGCCGGCCGGCTCCAGTCGGCGCCGCGCGCCTGTCGCTGCCGGCAGTGGCGGATCCAGAGGGGGGGGGGGCAAAATGGGCATTTGCCACTCCTAAACGGCATAATTTTACCATTACGCCTATGGACTAGGCATGGAAAGAATCGATAAATTGTTTTAGTTTGCCCAACCCAAACATTTCTGAGCTGGATCCGCCTCTGGCTGCCGGCGGCCGGCGGCTCTTATCGGGGCCGCCGCCGGCGGTCGGTATATCAGCAGCGGCGCCGGCCGGCACCGGCCAGTCCTTCTGTGACAGTGCCACAGTGACACCTAGTGTTTGCCTTACGTTAGATCGCTTACCTATTATATCTACCTACATAGATACAAGTATGTCTAAAATCATTGATGCCGCTCGCTTTTACAGGGTGGAGCGGAATTGGAGGCTGGTGGAGAGGAGGCTGGACCCGGTGGTGCAGCAGCTGGTGGCGAGGTGCGGGTCGGCGGCCCATCTGGTCCCCGACACGCTGCTGTTGGCGAAGGACCTGGTGGACAACCACGGGCCGGGACAACAGGCGTACATCACCTACCAGGAGGTCGGTGACGCCGTCGGTGATCTGCTGAGCCGCCCTCTGCTGTCGGCGCTGGCGGAGGTCGGGGCCGCCGCCGCCGCCCGGTGCCGTCACTGCCAGCCCCGCCAGCCGCTCCGGCTGGTCACCTCTAACAGGTCGGGGAGCTCGGCTGAGGGGCTGTCTGACGGTATCGTCGGTGTGGGGGGCACGTCAGACTTCGACATTATGTTAGAGTTTGACGGCCCCTTCCGCTGGGCGCCGCCGGGCGCGGAGAAGCCGGCCGACATCGAGCCGCGCTCTGCGCCGCAGCTGTGGGCCCGGCCGACCGACAACGCCGGCTTCGTGACGCTGCACTGGGTGCGGACGGACCGGTGCGGCCACGAGGAGCCGCTGGAGGCGCTGCCGGCCGACTCGGTCCGTCGGCTGATGTACGACTTCTGTCGGGTCATGATGGATGGTGAGATCACCCCCACCGGCCCGGCAGTCAATGTCAAGGGGCCTGGTGCTAAAGACGGCGGCAGAGACTACGTCTTCTGCCTGCTGGTGCGCGGCTGGTGGCCCGCGCCAGTCTGGCCCGACGGCGCCCCCTGGGAGACCAACTTCCCGTCGGCAGCGGCGCGGGACGATATCCCCCGGTTCGGGGTCCACCTGGTGCCCACCGGCCGGCCGGGCAGTAAGACGGAGTTCATTGAGTACCGCATCTCGCTGTCTCGGGCGGAGCTGCTGGCCGTCCGTCAGCTCTGCCCGGGGCTGCGGGCTGCGGTTACAGCCCTAAAGGCCATTAAAAAGATCCTGAAGGAGAGCGGGGTAGCCATTGGCGACTCATTAAAGTCGTACTTCATGAAGACGGCGGCGCTCTGGCTGGCCCAGGAGCCGCACGGTGGACCGCGGACGGGCGTCACGGACGGCGTCCACCGGCTCCTGGACTGGCTGGAGCGGCGCCTCGATGAAGAATGGCTGCCCTGCTTCTTCTACCCGGCCATTAACGTGGCGGCGGAGCTGACCGCGGACCAGCGGCAGGCCATCATCGGCTCCCTCCGGCTGGTGAGGGAGCACCTGACACCCCTTCTGATGGCCTGCTGTGAGGAGCAGTGGTCCCTGGACACACTGCTGGAGGGGCGGCCGACGGAGCCGCTCTCAGAGCGCCAGCTGCGGCTCCGTCTGGGACGGCTGCTCCTCCGGCAGGCTGTGTTTGAGGGCATCCAGTTCCGCCCCACGGCTCCCTGCTGGGAGAGCTGGTGGAGTGGCAACATCCCCCGCCTGGCCCGCGCGGCCCCCCGCCTGCTCCAGTGGCGCCACCACGTGAGGTCGGGGACACACTACCAGCAGTGTTACCTGCTCATGGCCTGGAGCGTGGTGGACCCGGCGGACCTGGCGGACGGCGAGCCGATGACGTCACCGGTCGGTGACGTCACCGTCACGCTCGACGTGACGCCGCTCACCCGGCTCCTCACCGACTCCGACCTGGTGCTCCTGCTGGGTGAGCCGGCCGCGGTGGCCGCCTGGTGTCGCCGGGAGCGGCCGGCCGGCCTGACCGCCGAGCCGGACACGCCGCGGGGCCGGGCCGAGCTGCTGCTGCGGCCCGAGCTGCTGCTGCGGGCCCTCGGTGAGGCCGTGCCGCGGGAGATGGACGTGTGGCGAGAGGTGGACCGGGAGCTGAAGGAGGCCTGTGAGGGGAACTACCGACCACCGGTCACCTACCAGTGGTGCCGGGGGTGTTTGGAGCGGGCCCTCAGCTGTGACCTGCAGCACTGGCTCCGTGTCAAACTACCAGAGATGGACGGCCCGTCGGTGGTCGCCACGGCCGGCCTCTGGCGCCGGCGGATGCAGCAGCTGCTGTCCGGTGACCGGCTGCGCGCGGCATACGACGCGGCCGTCGGCCGGTGGCCGGACCGGTGGCAGCTGCTGCAGCATTACCTGGCGGAGGACGACACACAAGGTAAGTCCGCCGCCGGCACCGCCGCGCGGGTTTCGCTTTGGTAGCCGAGTTACTGACTGAATCTATATTACTATTTGAGGAGGGTGCGTCTGTCCGTTACCGAGGTCCCGACTTGGTGGTGCTTTGCGTGGACTACAGGCCAGACCGTTGCACCTAGCCCGGTGAAATTTGCACAACTTATAGATCAAGGATGCGCGACGTGCCTTTGAGGGGTCTCAGCTCGATCGGGTCGATAGGGATCGCGAGGCGCGTGCTCAAAAAGTGCAAATTCGCGTCATAGACTTTACATGTATAAATCGGCGTGCGAAATCGGGCGAAAACGGCTAATTTTGGCCTACACGGGTCCAGTTCCCGTGCAATATCTTGGTGACCAGGGGTCCGACCGGCACGGGGAAAACAGCATCGTGTACAGAATTGAACGGGCTATTGAATGGTGTGCAATGCAGAGGATAGCACGCGCCACGTGCACCGGAGAGGGCACTTTTATTTGAAAAATTGCGGTTTTTGAGGGATTTTGGAATTAATTTTATTTTTAGGTGACCGTTAAATGGAGCGAGTTGAATCAACGCCTATTTGCAAGAGAAAGGTACCGCCTCTCATATAAAAATTGTGAAAAGCTGATTGATCCAAATCAAGGTGGTGCAAATCACAGGAGAAAATGGTGTTTGTCAATTTTGTGCCACTTTATTAATCACACGGGGTTTGCTGCATAACCTGATACCTTTGGCAATTGAATATGGTACCATTGGATAGAGCATTCAATTCTGTCCAATATTCACTCTTCATTTTTGCATGATTAGCAACAGTATCCTTAAAAATGTAAATGTTCCAAACCATTACATTGTCATTTTTAGCGAAATTCATCGATGGCCCTCAAAAGACTTCACGCCAGTTTTCGAATCATTCTAAAGTAGAACGCATGATAATACGACACGGGCACCTCGATGCGATGTATCTTTTTGTTTTCTTACAAAATGCTTGGCCGTCAAAAAGCAATCAAACGAAATGGATACCAACCAAATCGACACAGACCAACCCAATACCCACGGGTCAAAAATAACCCTTCTTCGCGTTGCGGAGCACGCGGGTAACCCTAGTAAATGCTATTTAGAAACACAGGCAAGAGCAAATGGGTGAACCCGGCCGCGAACCCACGACCTCTGGCTTGGAATGCGACTGCGCTAGCTATTACGCCACGAAGCCACTCTCGATTAATAGACTTATTAGTGAGTTATAATGAAAAGTAAATTATTCTCCGGGTGGCTCCTCCCCCTCCCGCTGACACAGACACACACAGACACACACACAAGTGGGCGGTTCACTCCGTCACCCGGTGGCCACAACACTGGACCGGATTGGTCATCACTGTACAACGGCAATACGAGAGACCACCGACTGTTCAATGGCCGTGGACCGATACTAAATCAGAATGTGACCCGTGGCATTGATCAATTCTACATATATAAGTAAATAATATGATATAATGCTATGATCAGTATGATTGTATGATTAGATATACGCTCTATTATATGGTCCAAATGCGATTTACCTATATCATGCTAATGAATAGGTATCTGTAAGAGTTTGCATCTCTCTAATGATGCCAAAGTTTATGCAATTCCGTTAATACCTACCTCCAATACAATACCAATACCACGGTGTTGAAAAGCCTCAGTAGCGAAGACTGCCCTTGGAGACAAATGTCCAAGATATGAGCTGCAGTCGGTGCCGAAAGCAGTTTGACAGATAGCAGCACCGTCAACTGATGCTTGTGTAGGTGGCAGCACCAGTCACAGCAACACCAGGCCAGAGCTGCAATCACAAACAAAAGGGTTATTGGCAACGAGACGCATATTGTTGAAAGGTGCGTCGAACTCTACGAATACAGCAAAACGGGAAGATATGCCAGTCATACTAGTTTATAGAGGAAGCAAATTATAAATCATTTTCAGCTGCTGCATTGATTGTCTTTATTATGTTTGCGTTTCAGCCTACCTTCTGCCAGGCTACCAGATTGCTTGCTACCTATAGGTAGCCAGGATATTTGCAATAAAATAAAATGGTTCAGCGAAACTAGATTCAGCAGATGGAAAATACATTATTGTGCTAAATACAATTATAACGTTTGTATAGAGTTAGACTTGATCCAGTCCAAGATACCCATCTGCTGCCGTCGGTGCCGGAATATGCCGTCAGATGACAGGGCCGACATCAGAATAGGAACCGATTGAAATGTCCAAATCAGTCTCAGAAACACCAAAGTCGAGCTGCAAACAGAAACAACAAAAAGATGTCAGCGTGACCGAAACGTGCAGCTGAGTGAGCAATTATTGTCATTTCTGGGATGGACAAATAGGAAACAAATCAAGAAACGAACAAAACAACAAACATGCATCGTTAGCTCATGTTGAGGCCATCGCTATGGACAACTCAGAGTCTTGCATATCTGAAAGTGGTTTGACAAAAATTGACTCTGGGACAACTTTGCACAGAAGGGCTAGGGCAGGGAAGGGCAGGGCAGGGAAGGGCTAGCGACAAGCGGTAAACGTATGGGATACATTCGGTTGGTATCTGCAATTTTTACACGGTTTTTATTTTTCTCTTTCAAGTCAGTGCAAAGATGACGTTGCAGGGGTGAAACTAATCAAAGTTGTGGTGTGTGAGGTCAAGAAAGTATTTTTGTAGGTACTCCTGTGCTCCTTACCTGTAAGGCGCTATCCGGATCGTTGACACCAAGCGGCCGCCGGCGAGATGTGCCTCCGATAGGTGAATTGATACTGCCCCTGAGAGTCTAATGGTACCTGGTAAGACGTCTGAAAAGACAGCCTCAGATTCAGATTCACTTTCAGAATCACATTCGGACCCCCTTAGATTTTCATAAAAACTGGTCCATGGGTACAGTTTTGGACGCTGATTCCAATGGTGAAGTCTGTTTTTCGCCACATATAATACTTTGGCCCCTAGAGGCATTCAAAGTTTTTTTTTGGGGCGAAGGGGGACCCCCTTAGATTTTCATAAAGACTGGTCCATGTGTACAGTTTTGGACGCTGATTCCAACGGTGAAGTCTGTTTTTCGCCACATATTATACTTTGGCCCCTAGAGGCATTCAAAGTTTTTTGGGGCGAAGGGGGACCCCCTTAGATTTTCATAAAAACTAGTCCATGGGTACAGTTTTGGACGCTGATTCCAATGGTGAAGTCTGTTTTTCGCCACATATTATACTTTGGCCCCTAGAGGCATTCAAAGTTTTTTTGGGGCGAAGGGGGACCCCCTTAGATTTTCATAAAAACTGGTCCATGTGTACAGTTTTGGACGCTGATTCCAACGGTGAAGTCTGTTTTTCGCCACATATTATACTTTGGCCCCTAGAGCAGGGCTGCGGAGTCGATGGATTTTCGGCGACTCCGACTCCGACTCCGACTCCGGCTTTCAAAAACCAGCTCCGACTCCGACTCCGACTCCTGGCAGAATTGTCGACTCCGACCGACTCCAACTCCCGACTCCGACTCCGCAGACCTAGCAGGGCTGCGGAGTCGACAGATTTTCGGTGACTCCGACTCCGACTCCGGCTCGGGTTTGTAAAATCGACTCCGACTCCGACTCCGACTCCGGTCACAACTGTCGACTCCGACCGACTCCGACTCCGACTCCGACTCCGCAGCCCTGCCCTAGAGGCATTCAAAGTTTTTTGGGGGAAGGGGGACCCCCTTAGATTTTCATAAAAAACTGGTCCATGTGTACAGTTTTGGACGCTGATTCCAATGGTGAAGTCTGTTTTTCGCCACATATTATACTTTGCTACCTAGAGGCATTCAAAGTTTTTTTTGGGCGAAGGGGGACCCCCTTAGATTTTCATAAAAACTGGTCCATGGGTACAGTTTTGGACGCTGATTCCAATGGTGAAGTCTGTTTTTCGCCACATGTTATACTTTGGCCCCTAGAGGCATTCAAAGTTTTTTTGGGGGCGAAGGGGGACCCCCTTAGATTTTTATAACAACTGGTCCATGTGTACAGTTTTGGACGCTGATTCCAACGGTGAAGTCTGTTTTTCGACACATATTATACTTTGGCCCCTAGAGGCATTCAAAGTTTTTTTGGGGAAGGGGACCCCCTTAGATTTTCATAAAAACTGGTCCATGTGTACAGTTTTGGACGCTGATTCCAATGGTGAAGTCTGTTTTTCGCCACATATTTTACTTTGGCCCCTAGAGGCATTCAAAGTTTTTTTTGGGGCGAAGGGGGACCCCCTTAGATTTTCATTAAAACTGGTCCATGTGTACAGTTTTGGACGCTGATTCCGATGGTGAAGTCTGTTTTTCGCCACATATTATACTTTGGCCCCTAGAGGCATTCAATTTTTTGAATTCAATTTTTTGAATGCCTCTAGGGGCCAAAGTATAATATGTGGCGAAAAACAGACTTCACCATTGGAATCAGCGTCCAAAACTGTACACATGGACCAGTTTTAATTAAAATCTAAGGGGGTCCCCCTTCGCCCCCAAAAAAACTTTGAAAGCCTCTAGGGGCCAAAGTATAATATGTGGCGAAAAACAGACTTCACCATTGGAATCAGCGTCCAAAACTGTACCCATGGACCAGTTTTTATGAAAATCTAAGGGGGTCCGAATGTGATTCTGAAAGTGAATCTGAATGCCTCTAGGGGCCAAAGTATAATATGTGGCGAAAAACAGACTTCACCGTTGTAATCAGCGTCCAAAACTGTACACATGGACCAGTTTTTATGAAAATCTAAGGGGGTCCCCCCTCGCCCCAAAAAAACTTTGAATGCCTCTAGGGGCCAAAGTATAATATGTGGCGGAAAACAGACTTCAGCGTTGGAATCAGCGTCCAAAACTGTACCTATGGACCAGTTTTTATGAAAATCTAAGGGGGTCCCCCTTCGCCCCAAAAAAACTTTGAATGCCTCTAGGGGCCAAAGTATAATATGTGGCGAAAAACAGACTTCACCATTGGAATCAGCGTCCAAAACTGTACACATGGACCGGTTTTTATGAAAATCTAAGGGGGTCCCTCTTCGCCCCAAAAAAACTTTGAATGCCTCTAGGGGCCAAAGTATAATATGTGGCGAAAAACAGACTTCACCATTGGAATCAGCGTCCATAACTGTACACATGGACCAGTTTTTATAAAAATCTAAGGGGGTCCCCCTTCCCCAAAAACTTTGAATGCCTCTAGGGGCCAAAGTATAATATGTGGCGAAAAACAGACTTCACCGTTGGAATCAGCGTCCAAAACTGTACACATGGACCAGTTTTTATGAAAATCTAAGGGGGTCCCCCTTCGCCCCCAAAAAAACTTTGAATGCCTCTAGGGGCCAAAGTATAATATGTGGCAAAAAACAGACTTCACCATTGGAATCAGCGTCCAAAACTGTACCCATGGACCAGTTTTTGTGAAAATCTAAGGGGGTCCCCCTTCGCCCCAAAAAACTTTGAATGCCTCTAGGGGCCAAAGTATAATATGTGGCGAAAAACAGACTTCACCATTGGAATCAGCGTCCAAAACTGTACACATGGACCAGTTTTTATGAAAATCTAAGGGGGTCCGAATGTGATTCTGAAAGTGAATCTGAATCTGAGGCTGTCTTGACAGACGTCCTGGTAAGAGGCTACTACGGTCTGTTTCTGCAAAAGAGAAACAAGCTCGTCAGTTGCGTTCCCTATCTGAGACTGAGCCATTCTCCGTTGAGTGGCCAGGAATGGACCGTGCTCGATGTTCTTTCACCCTCGCCGCACCTATTGGTTTTCTACATACGCGGCGGCCGAGCGGGGGGGGGGGTAGGGTATGACCCCCCGTCGTTTCTCCCCTAATAGAGCTAGAGCCGAGCGTCGCAGGAAAAGCGAGCGTGTGCACCGTTACGAGACGCAGCGATTAGTACCCCTAATTTTAACCCTCGCCGGCACAGGGGGGAAGGTGGTTGATGCAACCCCCCTAAGGTTTTTCGCAAATAACTCGCGTAAAAAGAGGCCGATCGCGACGAAACTTTCAGTACCCTCGCATTGATCAAGTTTACACCTACGCTAAAAAAAATTATGACCCTGACTCAAATGACCTTTGACCTGTGACCTACTTTCCGAGACCATGTTTGGACGGAATCGCGATTCGGCGTATGTCGGCTCGCATTAGCCGCGCGTTTGCAAGCTTTTCGTGGTTTCAAACGCTCAAACATGTGATTTGATGTTGCTCCCATGCATTAGGGTGGATGTCAAGGCCACCTGAAGGTCAGGTCAGGTCATTGACCTTTGTGACCTCGTTTCACTTTTCGAGTTATACCTACATGTTTCTAGGCTAATTTTTTGAGCTGATTTCGAATTTAGCAACCATTTAAGCATTTACGAAGTGGTTTTGGTGCATTCGTAACATGTTACGAAGCTGTCAGAGGCGGTTGACACGTATTACGAATACCCGTCACAATCCCTACCGGTTGACCTGACCTGACCTGACCCGACCTGGTCTAAATGCTTAGACATCATCTCTGATCAAAACTAACACGATATTCGTGATCAGCACCCCGGAAAACCCCATAGCAGCCACACTTTACGACTTTCTAACAGGTCCCGATTTTCCCGATTTTCAGGTAATTGACCTGACCTGGAAGGTCACCCGATGACATAGGACCTTAACCCTCGCCGGCACAGGCCATTTCGCGTCCTTCGACGGCACAAGGGGGGGGGGGGTTGGTACGACCCCCCTCGCGTTTGGCCCCTGATCGAGCTAGAGCTTCGCGGAAAAAACGAGCGTGCTGCCCGTCACAAGAGGAAGCCGACGATACCCAATTCTAAGGTCCTATTCTAAGGTCAAACGTACGCATTGAGAGCTGTCGACTGCTTTTTACCGCGTCTTTCTAGCCCTCTTAGTTTTTGAGATAGAGGTGGGTGGTAACATACCTATGCCCCCCCCCCCCACTAGGGCGAAGTTGGCTGAGACTGTCACTGGGGCGCGGGTAAAGTTATTGTGACGTCGTTCCCGGCGCCAAAATAGCAGTTTTAATTTTTCCCCATTGACTTAGGTATTGACATTGACTCAGCTAATGGTGAGGTCTTGTGACCGACCTGAACTCATGTGACCTTAACACGCGCACCGACGGGGGGGGGGGCGGATATCCGCCCCCTGAGGTTTTTCGCGAAAAGCGGGAAGCGCCGCGAAATTTAGTACGACTATTCTCTTATTAATTTTACACATGGTGTGCAAGTTTGAACCTCCTAACTTTTAAGGTCAGGTCACCAGGTCACTTTGAATGACCCAACCTCAAGTCACTTTTTTGCAACTTTGTCACCGTGCCAGAGCTACAGTAGATGACGGAGGCCTTTGAATGTCGCAGGATGTTATAAGGTCATTAGTATCTACAATTTGTATATCTCGGAATTTTTATATCGGTGACCTAAGGTCAGGTCGATTTCGCGACCTCCCCATTATAAGTCAATGGGGGAAAAAACAGCTCCCTGTTTTTACCACTAAAATGGGTCGGAATGGCCCCATATACCATGCACGACCTCATATACGATCAACCTTCACTACCTTGAGGTCAGTTTTGCTGTTGGGCAGCTGTAAGGTCATGTGACGTCATCAAAGGTCACCAGCGGTTTTTTGCCAATAACTCCGTACAGGAACAAGATACAGCCGCGCGGATGGTCTCATTGTGTTCAGCTCGTCAAGACGCATCGAATGACATGCATGATGACCTTGAGGTCACGTGACCTGAGGTCAACCTTTGACCTTGACCTTTCGAGGTCAA